AAAACCCCAAAACCCCAAAACCCCACTATGCAATTAATTTCCAAATAAAGCTTGCTAATTAATAAATCAAATAAAAGTGCGAAAATAAGTCAATCATATTAATGGAACCGTATATTGTATTTCTGATATAATCATTATTAATGCAAATGTAAAACTTTGCAAATAAAATCAGCCATAAATCTAATAGAGGGATTATCAAATGCAAATCATGGATTTAGTACTCAATAATTTCAGAAATCAATATTGGAGAATCTCTAATCAGTATTATTTGGAAATACTGGAGCTAAATTTTATTAACTTTGATCCCTCAAATGGGAATAATTTGTTTAATGGAATGCGCACTTGCCTTAGTTTAATGTTAAATCTCTTATCTAATTTGTAGCCTTAATTTTCCTTTAATTACCATATATTTATCGTGCCTCTATTGATCTTACTGCTTATAGATTATTACTATCTTTTTATATGTTATTATTTATCATTTTTGTCTAGTTATACTAAGGACTTGGATGTTTAATCTCTATAGAATCCAATTATAATAATATTTCTGGCTAAGGGTCAAGTCCAGTTCATAATTCGATGATATTTTCAAATTCATTTACATTTTAGCTAGAGAAGCATTCATATTTATTGCTGAAAAATATTTGATGCTCAAGTTTAGTATCAATTCCGAAATTTAGATCGTTATCCTCGTACAATCTAATGCATTTCTTTTTGTTATGATTCTTGTTCAAAAGTTCACACATTTCTCTTTTGTTTAACTCCTTTAGAAATTTTTGCATCTTAGGCAATTTTTTTTAGTTCTTAAAACTTCATCTCATCAACCTTGATTTCCTTTCCCTTATAATCTGATTTAATTTTTTCAATTGGTGAGACATATTCTTAAACATCTGTGATAGTTTAAATGAATGTTGTTTAGAGAAATCTACTTTTTATTTTTTCAAAGATTTTCCCTCAATTATTTTTTCCACAGACTCATCTCCATAGTAAGTGCAATATTTAGATATATCCTCTTTAAGATTATAATCTATTGTAGTTTTTCCATGTTTTAGAGAACCTTATTTAAGATTCTAGTATGCATTAAATTAATCGAGAGGATGCGTTCCATTGTTATTTTAAAGAGTTAACTTTTAAGGATGGAATTATTAAATTATAGCTTGGAAATGATTCTGCTCATTTAAACCATCAGTTCCATGGTCAGGGAATGGTTTTTATGATATTAAGGAGAAATATTTTTGATCTGCTTGTAACATACTTTCAATTTATAGTAATCTCGATAATAAATTCTAAATGTATATCAAATAATTAAACTATCTAACTTCTTAATAAATAAAATCTAATACTTATTTGGTAAATTATATCATTCACTTATTTAAACTTAGAATTCTACTATTTTTAACTTTCGGGGTTTTGGGGTTTTGGGG